GGTACATGAAAAAACACCCGAACCGTTCGGTTCGCTTGTCTCGGTTCGGAGCGTGTGTGCGTCTCACGGTTCGACGCATGCGCAATGTAACCTCGTGCCCGTATGTGACGTGTGTTTTCTTTTCGCGCGACATAAACGTGTTCGACTTGGACCGGCGCTGCACAGAGCGATCGGTGAATATCAAACTAGCGCGAGTCTGCTCCGTATGCATTCATCACTTTCGCGGTATTTGATGTCATTACCGATCGCTCTGTGCAGCGCCGGTTCAAGTTAGTAAACAAGCCAGTAAAAGTGGAGTATGGAGCGCTGCAGGTCACGGCACGTGGAGAAATGGCAAGTGGGAGAGATGAGGGAGTTGGAGGATGCGCCAGCGTCGTATGAGTCTATGGTATAAGTCCGGTGTATGGGAACATTTTGGATTTCATGTTATGATATTTTAATTTAACTACAGTGGCACTTTATGTATAGATAAGAGCTTCAGTCATACGTTTCCAAATCCTGCACTTTAATTTTAAGTGGAAAAAAAGTACCCTCACATTTTGGGAATAGAAGCATTGTTGATACTGTTTTTGTGTTGAGGCTGAACTTAAATTTCACTTTATGTTTATGGCCTTTCCTATAGACCATTTCAAAAGATGTAAACAACACTGGCCCAGAAGCACTTCCTGTTTCAGTTTGTAACCGTTTTCTTTATTGCACATGTAAAGAAAACATCTTAAAGATGTTTGTTTACATTTTTGATTCAGTTTTAAATGTTCTGTTGTTTGTATTTTATCCCAGCTTTTATGTAGTGTTAAAAAACTGAAACAGGAAGTGCTTCTGGACCAGTGTTGTTTACATCTTGTGAAATGGTCTATTGCTATAGCTTAATTATCTATAGGCAATGAGGTTTCATGTATATTGACATTTAAAAGACAGTGTTTTAAGAGTTGCTCTCTTTTTCTTTTAAAAGATAGAATTTTGGTAAGAGCTACAAAAGTTAGCAGTTGATACATGAAAGTTAATTTCTTTGTGTAAATAAGATTTATGTGATAAAAATGCACAAGTTCTTGTAGAGATAGTGATACACATTCTCCTTTTTTTTGCCAAATAAACAAAAAGCATGTCAATTTCTTCTCTCTTGCTGTATCTAAATCTCACCTAGCTTTCCTCTGAGATAGTCCCAAAATGTGCTTAAAGTCAAAGAGTCAAATTCAGTTTGTGCATGATTGCATGAATATAATATATATTTTTTTAATACTGTATCCTAAAGTGTGGATAATTAAGCTATATATCACATGTTGAAGTACATTTCTTGAGTGTTAAGATTAAAAGAAAAAATAACAAGAACCGTACAGAACCGAAAACCGTGACCCTAAAACCGTGATACAAACCGAACCGTGGGTTTTGTGAACCGTGCCACCCCTAATAGGAATGAAACATTTAGTTGCTAGATTATAAATCCATATAGAATATTGTTACTGATTGTTTGGAAAAATGTCATTATTGTAAGATTTTGTCATATTTTTCTTACGTTTTTAACGTCATAAATATTAAATGTCATTATTGACATTTTATCACATGCTTTCATATTTTAATGTTATTATTATGACTTATACAGTGTGCACAGTCTTTTTTTTGTTAAAGACAAACAATTGACAATTGAAATGTTTAGCGTTCACAAAAAAATCATAATTTTAATGGAAAAAAATTATAAACGTAACGGAAAATACATGTTACTTGCTTAAAGGAGTAGTTCACATCAAAATAAACGTTTGCTGATAATTTACTCACCCCCATGTGATCCAAGATGTCCACGTCTTTCTTTCTTCAGTCGAAAAGAAATTAAAGTTTTTGATGAAAACATTACAGGATTTTTCTCCATTGGGAGCCAAACGGTTTAAGGTCCAAATGAGAGTTTCAGTGCAGCTTCAAAGGGCTTTAAACGACACTAAAGGCAGTCCCTCCAGAAAAACGCGATTATGCGATCGCTGAATTCAATGCAAAATCAGCCAAAGTCCCCATATTTATGCGGGGGCCGCATTTTTTCAAATACACCGCACTTTCGCCGCATAAATTGCCGATTTCCGTGCAAAATATGCGGGGTTTGCATAATTTCATAATCCTCGCATTTTCGTTGCAAAAAAGTCACATGTATCTTTGCAGAAAGTTGAAAAATGTTGCGTTTGCTTCACACAAGAGCAGCCATTTCCCCCTGTTTCCATGGGAAAGTTATGAAGTGACACAATTACGCGACGCCAGACAGACTCACGGAGGCGATTGACATCTCACAAATCGAACTCGTATAACTGTCTGTCACACGTTCTACCGTCACATCGTTACTTAATAAACAACATAAGATAAAAGAAGTAGCATCAAACAGAAATTACCCGCACACATGGGTTGTTCGAGGCGCACATATAACACTGCAGAGAGTTCAACAGGGAGCGCGCAGCTCTTAAAGGGGCCACACCTTATTTACACTCGTTACAGTCTGAAATAAAACAAGATGAGAAATTAAATATTCCCAGCACTTTCTATGATGTAGTTTGCTTGCTTATCAAAGGAAGTAATAAGAAATGACTCTTACATTAGCCTAGTGAGAACAGGATGTTGGGGGAATCACTTTTTTTCTCTTTTTCATCAAACCGCAATTTTTGCAAGTTCCCTCAATTTTTGCAAATTCCTGCAATTTCATCGCATAAAATTGCATAAATATAAATATATATTCCATCGCATTTTTAAAGAAAACGGGCCATGTAATCAATCAATTTTTGCCCGCAACAATCACAAAAAAACTCCGCGTTTTTCTGGAAGGACTGAATACTATTATGGTAAATGTTATATATAAATCGCAAATTTTTTCACAAATTTTTGGAAATTACCACCACAAAATCAGTCATTTTGATCGCAAAAATCACAAAAAAAAATCGTGAAATCCTGGAGGGACTGTAAAGGATTGTACTGTTATTTACTGTACAAAAACGATGTTAAAACTTGAGTTAACTAATTTTGCTTTCAGAAACCGACTGCCTTCAATTGACCAACCGTTATTTAAATGTATATTGCACAAATAATGTGAGCAAAGTATTACTGTGAACTTATTTCATTTGAGACCACTAAAAATTATTGTACATAGAAAGATCAGCAACTAGTCACGAGTCAACCGCATACAGTTACAAATAAAGCAACATGCAGTATATCATCAATGTTGCTAGATCTTACCCTGGACTGAAGCACATGCTCTCTACTCTTCAGCACAATGAATGGGCTCTATGCACGGCGGTATTTCCGGTGAAGGTGTAAGGATGCTCGATAACTTCCGCCGATCGTAGAGTCCAATGCAATACCGAGAATTTATATTGAATTTTATACTCCATGGTTATACTAAAGAAACGTTAGTCACAAAAACAGATAAAACAGTCGTTGTGTTTATGCTTCTTTTTAAAATTATATTAAATAAATATAACTATATATAAAATTACATCTAAACGAATGTACGTTTCACTTCAAAGACTGGAGGACAGTAAATTTTGAAGACTCTGCCATAATCCCGTTTTCCTCGGTTTTCCTCCGCTTTAATCTCCACAACCGAAAATGGACGAGCATCACTTGCGTCAAATGCGGAATTTATGCGTGCATATAGCCCATTATATAAACTCTGAGCAGAGTGTTAAATGAACACTGAAGCGGTGTTCAAGTTAATGAGATAATTAAGTGAATAATTGAGTGATGATTGAGCATCATTGAAGACACCTGATGATAACAAGCAGAATCACTGAAGGAGAAAACTGGAATTTTTAAGTCACCATTATGGTGATCAGTGTTTGCTTTAGCTGGGCTCTTGACAGTAGCGGTTCTAGGCACGGGCGAACCGGGCTGTCGCCCGGGGCGGCATTTCTTCATGTCACATAGGGGGCGGCACGAGCAGTTAAAAAAATCCTCTGTGCCGTGAAGTTTTTCTATTTTTTATCATTTCGATTCATTTATTGGCAATGGCGATGTCAAGGGGATTTCCTGATTAGTTCACGTATCGCGTCTTTTGCGCGCTCGAGGTCGTTATTTCAAATCCTCTTCAAATAGGCGCACGGGAAGCGCTCTCATTATGCGCTCACGGGAAGCGCGCTCATAAACTTTTCAGTATGGGAGTGCACGTGCACCCAAACACTTGGGTGTTTTTTCTCTTTTCCGTAAATAAATCTTTTAGCAAAGCTACAGCAAGCGTTTTTCTGTGGTGGAAATACATTAGCTACAAAAACTTCTTTGTCGTTGTGGAGAGAGCGCAGTGTAATAAGTGCATGGTTCTATAGCAACGACAGCCATGGGAAAATCAAGTACGAATTTTACTATTAATAATAAAAGATAAGTTACTGTGCATTATAAATGTCATGTATCTTTATTGACGCATTCTTTTTATAGAGATGATTTAAATGCTGAAATATAAGGTTTATCTTTATATAAAACCTTTTTTTGTGTGTTAACCTTTTTTGAAGTTTAGTAGTAAAAGACACTCATTTAAAACAAATCTTTAATGTTATTAACTTGGTGAATTGATTTCACTGTGTATTAGGCTTTTTGAACAAGATTCTGTATGTGATCATTTTGGGCACTATATTATCTAATACTTTTCATAATGATCTTTTTTTTGGGGGGGGGGGGGGGGGGGAAATCATAATGATTTTTCACAATTCTTTGACCTGAATCACTAAATTCATTTAGAGCCTAACTTCTGAGTTAGGTTTAATTTGTTAATTATAGCAGCAGTGATCTTGTACAGCATAATATTTTTAAAGTATTTCTAATTCAATGAATGCTAAGGTGTTAATTGGCAAAGCAAAGCTTTGATTTGATTAACATAGCATTGCAATTGCTGAATGGTAAAGTAATGTAGAACATTGATACCTGTTCTTAAACCAAGCTCATGCAGGGAATAGTGAATAAATATTACCCAGAATGTTACAGTATATTACTGTTTATTGTAAAACAGTCTTACAGTCAGAATTTGGCTTTTTTCTTAAAAGGTTTTTACAGTGCAATCTTTATCTACATTAGTTAAAGAAACCATTTGTAGGCATTTCCACAGCGCTTCCAACATTTTCCTCGGGTTTAAGCATTAATAACAACATCTGATTCATTTGAATGTGAGAAAGACATTTACATATTACGCATATTCTTAAATACACCTATTACATAAGAAGAGCAAAGGAACTATACTGCAAACATTGAATGTATTTCCAATTGAAACCTAACTTAATAAATGCAAATATATCATTAAAAAAAATTACAAATGTCTAATAAAATATCATATGAACTTTAAGAGCGCTTCGCTGCACACAGCTTGTGTGAGGCTGGGTTCAGGGTGAAGCCCACCACTGGTGTGAGATCCAGATCATCTTCAGACACTCCAGGAGGAGGAGTAAAGCGGAAATGCTGAAGGAGGGAGGTGAAGAACAGGAAGAGCTCCATCCTGGCCAAACTCTGTCCAGGACAAGCCCTGCGGCCTGAGAAAAAAATAGGTAAAGTATTAACAAAAATCATCTGTGATGGCTCAATATAATTAGTGTATTATTAATTATAACCAATTTGAAGTCCACTGCACCTGCAGAGAATGGCAAGAAGGCGCCCTTTTTGACAAACTGGCCCTGCTTATTTAGGAAGTGTCCTGGGTTGAAGCTGTCAGGAGTTTCCCAAAAATGTTCATCCTTCAATGCAGATCCCAGTATTGTGATCACACTGGTACCCTGCATAAAACAACACAAACGATCAATGATAAATGGAACAAACACATCAGCAAGAACACAGCATGCTCTTGGAGCCAGACCTTCTTGATGAGGAATCCATTCAGATAAACGTCACAGGTGGTCTGATGAGGAGAACCAAGGGGTGCTATGTTTGCAAATCTCTGTGTTTCATGGATCACAGCATTTGTATATGGTAAGTTCTTCCTGTCTTCCATCACTGCCTGACGTCCACCAATCTCTCGGTCAATCTCGTCTTGGGCCTTGGCTTAGTTAAATTCACAAGAAAGACCGCAGTATGAACATATATGGCAGCATTATTGAATACTTGGCCCTGTTTGACACTTTGCATAGAATTCAAATTGTTATAAAATAATGCAATAGTCCTGGTTTTGACTTGACTATGATCGAAGACTCTTTGTTCTATGTGAACAATTGTCTCCAACAATTGCACTAAGATTTGCCATTTGCAGTCATACCTTGTATTTCAGGGTATTTGGCCATGAGCAAAAGACTCCAGCGTAGCGTTGTGGCCGTAGTGTCAGTACCAGCACCAAACAGGTTGTTGATTGTACATAGTAAATTCATTGAATGGTACAAAGAGTCTGTTTTTCCAGATTCCTGCAGAAGTCATGACAATGAAAGTCAAAAAAGGTAATTGCAAATCTATTTGATTTAAAAGTACAGACAGTACCTCGTCCTTCTGCTGTCGTATCATGAAAGAATCAGCGATTCCTCTGGGCTCCAGAGGGTTCAGAGTTTTCTTCAGACCATTTATTATTTCCTCAGTTTGTTTGAATGTGTCTCTGACATTATTCATAATACGTTGATGATTCGTCACAAAAGGACGAAGCCAAGGAAACATGTTGTAGAGCTACAAACAAGCAGAATTGCAAAGAATCGTAATGTACCAAAGCATACAACTTAACAAAAACTCCAAAATCATGCAGTATAGTAACAAGGTATGAGTTATTGTTGGATTGAACAGGAATATCTGGCAATGCAATCTCACCACAAGGCGTCACCTTTGACCATGCTTCAATATTTGAGGCTTTAGGCGCCCTTCAGTTATATGACGTGATCTTACGACGCTAAAGGAAAAGCGTCAGTTAGATGACGTGGGTAGGTTTAGGTCTGGGGTAGGGTTACACGCGATCCTAGGGCGCCATCTAACTGGCGCCTAAAGCTTCAGATATAGACCCTTTTACGGTTTGTACACAATGATGACGTGGCAACGGAAGTATGGCGAGAATCAGCAGTGTGTCAAGCTCGGTCAAGCTACGTGGGCGAATTTTTATTATGTCCTCACTCCAATCAATACATTTAATCGCCTGCAGCCACAGGTGCCGCCGGTTCTTTTGAAACGGCCGTGATTCTGTCGGAAATATAAAACTGAAGCCCATTGGTGGAATATTGATAAGTGCAACCGTAAACGCAACAACCAGACATTTCAACGCATTCTCATCCTTTAACGTCATATAGAACGCTATATGCAAAAACGGCGCTATACTACGCACATGGCACCCGTTATCGTTAATATAACACGCGCTGTGAGGGCTAAGTTGGGTGTGCGTGTCATATTCACGCTAAAGGATTTATAACGTCTTGGGTTCGCGTGTTATATTAACGATAAAGGGTGCCATGTGCGTAGTATAGCGCCATTTTTGCATATAGCGTTCTATATAACGTTAAAGGATGAGAACGGGCTGGACATTTTGAAGCTGGGAAACCATTTTAATAAACTTTCGGAGTTGCTAACACGTTACAGTCAGTGGGAAACAACACCACTTCCGTTGCCAAAATGCGCGCGCATCTATTTAAGTCAGTTAGGTGACGCCTTGGGGGTGAGAATGGGCTGGAATATCTGGATACCTGCACTGAAGCTGATCCAATGATCCTCATGTTTTCTTAAGATCGTTTGATCATGTGATGTAACTTAGTGTTGCTGTACTCAAATCTGGTGCTGTAGATAATGGAAGAGATAACGTTCGCAACAGCCATGGCTAATGGCAGAGTTGTATCAAACGGTTCTCCTGCACAAGGGGAGAACGAGATGTTTACACTCAAATCAGTTTCATGCATCATGATCTTGTCCATGTGGTTAACAATCTTACCTTTAGACTTCTCAAATTCCTCTTTTAAATGTTTTGTTTCTTCGATGACAATCTCTTCACTTCTTTGCTTTCCCATTCCAAAATCTCGCAGTTTTGTGAGAGCAAAGCGTCTCATTTCTTTCCAGTTTTCACCATTGGAAAACACGATCCCTACAGAGGAATCAGTTACCCATTACTCTAAAGTGGACCTCACATTTCTTACTAGAATAAAAACATCTCGGGTTACGTATGTAACCCTCGTTTCCCTGAAGAAGGGAATGGCTAAGTCAGACGGATCTACTTCGAGTGTAACTAAATGAGCCAATGCACAGTGGCATGCGGCATTTGCATCAGCTGCAAGTGCATCGCATCTTCAGGTTTTCACTGAGGAGCAGAGCTGATGATCTGGCCATCTAGTGGTGGTACAGCAGCTGTGCCGAGGGGATGTGGTGCGTCTGCAGTCTCATCCCAAGACGTCATATAACTGACGTCTTGGGTCGTCTTTTCACCATACGTCAACATCCGCCTTTTTAGGGTACCCTTAAACGTCAGTTAGATGACGCTATCTAATCCTAACCCTACCCCAGACCTAAACCTACCCCTAAACCTACCCCGCCACCTAACCGACGTTAAAGATAAAGCGTCAGTTGTATGACGACCAGGTATCGTCATGTAACCTACATTTAAGGGTACCCTAAAAAGGCTGATGTTGACGTATGGTCAAAAGACGTCCCAAGACGTCAGTTATATGACTTCTTGGGATGAGACTGTGTTAGCAACCGAGATGTTCCCTTTCAGTTGGACAAGTTTGACGCCACTTCGGACTGACCAACGAATAGGGATCCCTACCAAAGTGCCACTGTTGCTGCCCCCTTCCAGCATAAGCCTCCTGATCCCTCCTGCCTAGGCTGATGTAGAGGATGTCAATCATTGCTGTTCTGCATGACCCACTCAGTGAGACTATTGAACAACACTGGGAAAGTCTGCCCTTTCCACTGGAAAAGGAACGCCGCGGAAACCACATCCTACCCGCAAGGAGTTATGTGGAGAATACATATGGAAGGGGACTCTGGGGTGACTGCAGCCTCATCAAAAGGAGTAGCTATACCATGGTAAAATACACACATAGGATGCCCTCTGGGTCACTACATATGGACACACGAGACAGCTTCCCCCTGAAGAACTGGCTCTCAACAAATTGCTCGGCTCTGAAGCTAAAACCTGAAGATGCGATGCACCTGCTGCTCCTTATGGTCATAGCCATACTGCGATGCGGAGAAGCTGATGCAAATATCGTATGCCAATGTGCATTGGCTCATTGAAGTAGATTGGCCTCTCTGGCAATATTCCTATTCGTTGGCCCGTCCAACATTGCGTCAAACGTGACTGACTGAAAGGGAAACGATTTTTTATTTTCAACTTTATAGACAAGACAAGTCTTACATCAACAAATGTGTTTATAAATGACCATCTGAAGATGTGAAACCTTACCATATCCCTGGTTGAAATCATGGAAAATGGGCATATTATCTCGGTCTCCAAACTCCTTAGAAAGGTTCACTAGTGCCTTTTTGATGGTCTTGTATCCTGACAGTATTAGCACTTTTTTGGGGCCGAAGTGCACAGTGTAAACTGACCCATATTGTTTTGACAGCTGCAAGAGAGAAAATATTAAGAAAAAACATAAATGGCTAATGAATCAATCCATATCCATCCATATCTATCCACTGGCATCAGCCCTCACTGGTCTCACATTACCCATAACGATTACCCTATTGGGAACGGTGACCTTTGAATGACCTCAGAATCTGTCCGTCTGACTGTTTATCTATCTAATGACATCAGACATCAGCTCTTTTTTTGTATATTCATTCTCCCTGAGTCTCCCTGATCAAACATTACCACTAACTCTTACCCTAGTGATTGTAAGAACTAGGTGACCTACTTTTGTATTTTTTAAACACAGTAAATGTTTACTTGGCACATGTAGTAATTAAAGGAGAACTCCCGTGCAAAATGAACCTTTGGTGTAATTACACATTGCTATCTAGTCAACCGTTTTCTGAGATTTGTTTTCATGATTGCCGAATGTAAATAGTTTTATCTCTAAAAACAGTTTAGCCTATAACGCTAGTATAATGCTAGTATATAGGGCATAGAGTAATGACAAATAAAAATCGCTTGTTATTACCACTAACAAGGCTCAAAATAGCCCCACAGTAACACGACAGCATAACATTCAAACCGAAGCATTGAGAACTTTGTCAGTGTCCATACAGTTTAATAAGAAGATATTTTATACAGACAGTCAACTTCGAGAATACAGGAAGAAGCCATCTTTGAAATATAGTCTCTACCAGTCGATCTACGAACGCCGATCCAAGTGCGCTGAACTGTGCTGAATCTTATATGGTCCGTTGTTTCCGGAAGAAACACAAACACGAACCATTTTCTTCTCTTCAATATGTACATGTAGACTACTGTTCGCGCTCACCGTATCACTTTATTCACATCTCACCAGCGCACATGGATCGGCGTTCGTAGATCGACTGGTAGAGACTATTTTTCAAAGATGGCTTCTTCCTGTATTCGCGAAGTTGACTGTGTGTATAAAATAACTTTATTTTTTTCTATCTATATTTTTTTCATCATCACAAAGTAGAATAACTCATTCCTGGGTATACTCACCATCAATAATTTCAGGTTATCTCAACATGTTTTAATAGGTTCAGTCACAGGGCTACTGTCATGAATGAGGTTAAATTCATAATACATCACCTATAAAACCAGATTACACTCTGAGCAAGATCAGTGAATGAGGCTATTACTTCTTTTGGAATTTTTTTCAGTAATTTTGCTTGTTTTTTTTTATTTTATTTAACCTTTATTTAACCAGGAAATAAATCCCATTGAAATCTCTTTTTCAAGGGAGTCCCGGCCAAGACAGCGGCACAGATCACAACAATTCAGTACATTACAGACAATTTTATAACAATTTCACAAGACTATTTAAAAACATTCACAAACCATAGATTTCATTTCCAAACCTTTGAGCAATAGTTTAAATTGGCCTATTGAAACCAGTTCCTTTAATTTCCAGAAATGTTTGTAAATTGTTCCATGTTGTGGGGGTAGAATAGTAAAATGCCACCTTACCAGCTTCTGTGCGGACACTTGGTACAGACAGTAGCAGTGAGTCTTGTGAGCGTAAAGAATACAGTCCAGCCCCCTTTGGTTGAATATATTCACACAAATATGAGGGGAGCAGACGCAGAATACACTCTAAAAAATGCTGGGTTGTTTTAACCCAATTTTGGGTCAAATATGGACAAACCCGAAATGTTGGGTTAAAAATGTAATGTAAAAATTTAACCCAACGGCTGGGTTAGTCCATATTTGACCCAAAGTTGGGTTAAAACAACCCAGCATTTTTTAGAGTGTACCCTTATAAATAAACATATACCAATGACTGAGTCTACGATTTTCCAGTGCTGGCCAGCCCACACGTGTGTAAAGTTCACAGTGGTGTGTTTTCATCAGGTGACTTCAATAATGCTCAGTCGTCACTTAATTATCTAAGTAACTCTAAGGCCCTGTTTACACGAGAACATTCGCGAGTGAAAGTGTAAAAATATTTTATCAGATGTGCCTTTCGTTTACACGGCGTTGGCGTTTTGGGAGCTTACGAACGCAAAAAAGTGAAACCACCCTTCTTAAAAACGCTCCACCGCCGCGTTCCCGTGTAAACGGTAAAAACCCAAAAGTCTGCCTGACAGTGAAGGTTGTACGCAGGCGTGCGGACTTGGTGTTGTTGTGTGGCAGTGCTTCACGTTGCCACCTAGCTGCCTGGAGTGCATACTACATTGAATTTCACACTCTTTTGCGTCACCACATGCACTCGGATTTCCCACCCAAAACGCTCGTCTAAACGCAGAATAAAAAGTGATAACGCAACGCCACTTTTGCGTTTTCTCTTCAAATCGTTTCCATGTGAACATAGCCTAAGGGGCTTTTTACAAGACATGTGCAACTAAAAACTGAAGACTTTTTTTTTATATATTTTGTCTGTTCATTTAAACGACAATGGCATTTTAGTGGCCTGAAAACGCAAACTTTTGAAAACAAGTTTCAAAGTGAAGATTAAATTTACCCAGAAGACAAAAAAGACAGAAAATGGGTAACACTTTAAAATAATGGTCCGTAGTCAACAAGTAGCTATGCAGGAAGTAATAGGTAGTACTGCATTAACACCAAAGTTAATACTATTAACTAATATGGAAGCAATATTAACTAATCATTAAGTAATAGGTAATTTAGTACAAAGGTAGTTCCTTGGTACGTATTTGATTGTTACTAAAGAAATATATGAAGAGTTCAGATGCAAAAGCCTCTAAATGCCATTTGAAATTTTCTTCTTTAATGATGATTTTTATCAAACTTGTACATTTAAGTTCAGTAATTTCACTTAAATAACAATTAATAGGTAATTATCATTGCCATTTAAGTGAAATCACTGAACTTAAATATACAAGTTTGATAAAAATTATCATTCTAGAAGAAAATTTCAAATGGCACTTAGAGGCTTTTGCATCTGAACTCCTCATATCCTCATTGAGAACTACTTGTGAACTAAGAAATAATAACCAATTAATTACTAATCACAAAAGTAACATGTCTAAAAAGTGAACAATTGTGGGGGTTTTATACTCTTAACATGGTCATAACATTTCAGAAGCACGTGCCTCAAATGGGTTCTTTGTGGAAACCAGTTTATGAAGTTTATACATCCCCCCAAATACATTAGCTAGGTTGAGATTGTGACCACTACTCTTGCCAGGATGGACGCATGTTCGCTGTTTATTTAAAACTTAAACATAAAATAATCCTAGTTTACATTGAAGAGGGAGAAAACTGAAACAAAAGCATGCAAGTGAAATAGAAACACACCCTACTCTGAGGCCATTACCAATCCAATTGAATCAGCATAACTATTCAAATGCTGATAGTAGCCTGGAGCCATCCCAGAGCCATTAAAGACAAAAGGTGGAAGTCTCCCCCATTGCTAATCCAATCAACCTAAATGATTCAATCGAGACTCTTGCTGGAGACTTTATCAGTTTTTATACCATTGGAGTGGAAACCTAAATTAAACATTTGACAAATTTGTATTCCTCCACAGTACAGTACTAACAGTATACTTACAGTGTATTTACCTAGAAAGTACTGGCTAATATAAGGTAAGTACATGGAACAGGGGTAGGTTCAGGGGTAGTACTAGTTATTACCCAGTAATTGTAGTTACTAAAATAAGTACATAGTATTTACATGGGTAACTGGACTGTAAAAGGAAGCGTTATACCGCTACGTCTTAGTTTGTGCTTATCTTGGCGAAAGCTGAGTACAAATCAGCATGACATTTAACATTTACCCTCCTGTAATGGAAATCATACAGTGGACTACAAGTAAAATGAATGCAAACTATTCAGACACTTTGACCCACACTCTAAAAAATGCTGGGTTGTTTTAACCCAATTTTGGGTAAAATATGGACAAACCCAGCCATTGGGTTACATTTTTAAATTACATTTTTTTTACCCAATGGCTGGGTTTGTCCATATTTTACCCAAAATTGGGTTAAAACAACCCAGCATTTTTTAGAGCATGTTTTGCTTGTTTTTTTTCTTTCTTTAATTACTAATGTGAACTTTTTACACCACAGAGTCTCATAAATGAATATGGTTTAATAGCTAACATCTGTTAAAATTAAGTACACAATTAGATAATACCAATTAGGTCAACCAAACAAGCGATGCTTCATTTTGTTCAACCTGATTTAAGCATGCTCACCTCACACAGGCTCATGTAGGTTTTCTTGAGGTCCAGCATGTGTAGGTTCCCCAGCAGTGGCAGTGGTTTGGGTCCTGGAGGGTATTTTCCCTCATCTTGAGAGCTTGAGGTGATGAAAAAGAGATAAATAATCAAAAGCAACAGCAGGGCAAGTATTGTACCTGTGCCCTGCGAGAGTAACACTTCTGTTAAAGCCATATTCAAAGAGATCTTGTTTAGGTTTGATGTTGGTTGTCTTGCTCTTATATACTCTGCAAGGAGTTGTGGGAGAAGTGTAGGAGGGGCCATAAGAATAGGGTAATACTCAAAATTGCGCAACTGTCACCGGTCAGCTGATCTAAAACAACAAAAATAGCTAACCCTAAATATAATTGTAAACATTTACGAGTCATTAAATCATGTTTAATTTTGACTTCTCTGTGCATGCTTTTTGGTGGACCCCCTTAGTCTCCAGTGTATGACTGATAGACAACAACGGTTTGACTGAAAAATGTCAAAATTGAACATACCGCAGAAACAAAGACACCTACATCTTGGATGCCTTTGAGGTAAGCTAAAACATATCAAAAATTAATTTCAAAGTGAACTATCCCTTTAAGTGTTTGGTTTAGTTGGGCTATTGACCCTTAAATCAATAATTTTAGATTTTGTTTTGCTGCTGTATGTGACTTATAACAGCCAGATGAACAAATAAAAAAGGGCATCTGATGGTGTTGGTTGTGTTTTAATCTAATCATTAATTGGCCTGAATCACTGAATTTAACTCATCAAGAGCTTAAATTCTTTGTTAAATGTACCTTTCCTAGCAGCATGGTAATGTAAGACTGGAAAACTGGTTAAACAGAAAATATCTGACCAACACCCTCTGAAGACAAAGGGCATTGCTTGCAAATTAACATTTGACACCCTACCCCCTTTCTCTGAGAATTTACATCTTCTCTCTCTCCCTCTCAGTCAGTCAATGATTGAAAACTCTCAAGAATATATGTTTTTAATGTGAATGATAATCTTTAAGAAGTGTTTGGAGTCATTTTGATGGTCTCAGGGTGACTGGTAATAATGTCTCATTCCCAAAGTAGTAAAAGAAAAGGTAATAAGGTTTTTAAGAAGTTTCACTGTCACACAAAGGAATGTGGTCTTTGAGTTGACACCTTCTGCCTTGTTGTCTGAATGCAAATTACTACCAAGCAAATGGTCTGCGCCCAATAAGCATGTTGGGGGAGATTCAGTAACTTTCCGTTGAAACCTGGTGATTAAAATATCAGGTAAGGTCTGGCCATTTAAGGGGTGCAGCGGGAGAGCTCGGGGCTGCCTTTCAGATCAGCTCATGATGTTGTGTCTTCTCAGCTCATGTAGCCTAATATGTTGGGTAAAGTTCTTTGTTCTTTGAAATATTTAATGGTTTGCATTGATTATCTTGTGGAATTCTAATGATACATTTACCTGACATAATAAATTGTTATATTTGGCTATTCTAACAGACTTTGACTTTAGTTTCATTAGAGTTAAAGGAATAGTCAAGCATTAACGTATTAAATGATGCACAGATATCATTGATAAACCCTTTTCATTTTATGGAGTCAGATGAACCGAGTTAATACATAAGATTAAATGTATTGCATTTAATTGAAAATTCACTGGAAAAGACGGAACACGCTTGAGACCTTCTTTGGATCGATTTCGTGGCCCTTTTTTACAGTAATTTTAGAACATACGATTTGTATTATTTTCAATGAAATCAAAACATTTAAAATCAAAAAAATATTTTATGTCGGCACACACAGACATCAAGAATTAATGCATAAATCTCAGCAATGGTGTGGCATAAAAAAAGAAAAGAAAAAGAAATTAAGACAATGGCTGTTATTCTTACAGTAAGAAAAAAACAAAAAAACTGGTAAATCATCTTCTGTGTCTTCCAGTAACTTGAGCCCACTAAACAACATGATGTCCAAAAGACGTCTTTTCAAGTCTCAAAAGTCTTTGTCTCAAAAGTCGGTGTTTATTAGGTCCAGAAACAGTATAAATTGTCTAAATGAGACCATAAATTATGTTGAAAACATGTCCACAATGGCCACATTTGAACTTTTGTGACAAAGACGTCTTTTGGACATCATGTTGTTTAGTGGGCTATAACCTCTGCCACTAAAGATTGCTTTATCAATAATCTTCCTAATCAGTTTCATCATTTCAGCATCCCGGATAGCTTAGAAGAACTCGATATTGTGACAGAAACTTTTAACTCTCTCTTTTCCAGCACTTTAGACACAGTTGCTCCATTGCGCTTGAAGAAGATTAAAGAAAATAGTCCAAGGCCGTGGTACAACGAGCACACTCAGGCCCTAAGAGAGCAGCCAGAAAAATGGAGCGTTTCTGGAAAAAAAAACTGTTAAGCGTGACACTAGTATATGGGGGCATTTAATAAGTAAAAAGATATCGCTAGTTAATACCACTAACAAGGCTCAAAATAGCCCCACACTACTAACATGACAAAACGCCGAACCACGAACGCTGTTCATACAGTTCAGCTCACTCAGCACGTCATTCGTGATTCGACTTGTCGGGTCTGTTTTCCAAAGATGGCTCCTGCCTGTAAGTGGACTGTCTTTATAAAGTGTCTTCTTATTAAACGGTCTGTACACTTACAAAGTTCTCAATGCTTTGTTTTGCATGTATGAACCCTCATTATGCTAGCATGTTAGCGTGGGGCTATTTTGAGCCTTGTTAGTGGTAGCGATTTATTTTGACTTATTATATGCCCCGTATACTAGCGTTATAATCGAAACAGTTTTTAGAGATAAAACTCTTTACATTCGATTATCATGAAAATAAATCTCAGAGAACGGTCGACTAGGTACCGATGTTTTATTATTTTATATTTTGCGCCGGAGTTCTCCTTTAAGGTAATCAATGTTTGCTTTAGTTCGGCAGTTTGATTTGGCTTTTAATGTGAGTAGTTTGTGGTCTTTACCAAAACACATTATT